CCTCTTCTTCGCCTTCGAGTGAGTGCGGGGAAATGGGCCGGGAGGGCTTTGCCCCCTCCCCGGGGTGCCCTGTTATCCCTCTCTTCTCCCCACTGCCCCCCATGCATAGCCACTGCCCCATCACCTGTGCTCAGGTGTGTTTATGGGGCTCAGGGCTGGTCCTGCCCCTTGTTTGCTCACTCTGGCTCTGGGAAGGGGTTTAACATCCCCCCCAGGATGCTCCTCAGGTCGCTAAATACTCCTCCCAGTCTCCCCTCCTGCTCCCAGGGGTCAAAATTGCATCCAGGAAACTCCCAGGGTTGGTGGCTTTGTCCACCACTGGGATCTAGGAATAGTGTTTGTACCAAAGGTGCTCAGTCCTTTGGGATCTCATCCTGAGGGTCTGCACTGGAGCTCTGTCCCCATCGCACAGCTGTGTCTAGGGGAGAGGGAGCTGCATCTCCCCATTCCCCTTTCCTTTGGGAAATTGGTCCAGAGAAACTCCCTGTTCCTGCACCCTGAGGGAGAGGAGAGCCACGAGCGTCCTGATATGTCCTGCACTGCCTGGAGGGACTGGGGAAGAAGCTCTGTAGGTTATCTACACCTCTGAGGGATTCTGCTGTCCTGCCTCTGTGTTTCTGTCTCGGGAGGGAAGGGAGCTGTTTTTTCCTGGAGTGGGGAAGGCCTTTGGATCATGGTGTTATCCTTGCACGTCTCAGAGTAAAGCTGCCCGAGCCTGCTGCGCCGAGATGAAGGTATTTGATCGGATTAGAGGTTCTGAGAAGTCAGATGAGCTGAAAGGGGCAGGCAGCTGCGGGAAGCAGTCACGGCATCCCGATGGAAAAACTCCTTTCTTAGCATCATCTATGCCTCTGACAGCTCTGCTGGGTCTGGGGCTAACGAGCAGCCCTAGCACAGTAGCTGCTTTGTGCAGCCAGGCAGAAGACATCTGCTCTGCCTCCCTTCTTGCCGAGTCACTCTCTCTCGGGTGAAGATGCCCTGGGGCTTTCCAAGTTGTTATTTTAGCACTGTGCCTCTGTTGCACGGGTTACAGTTTGCTGGATGTACAGTAAATACATCTCATCTGTGTCTGTACTTCATGTTTTCATGGTAAAACCTCTCACAGGTTGTCCAGAGAAGCTGTGGCTGCTCCATCCCAGGGAGTGTTCCAGGTCAGGTTGGATGGGGCTTGGAGCAACCTGGGCTGGTGGAAAGTGTCCCTGCCCATGGCAGGGGGTGGGATGAGATGAGCTTTAAGGTCCTTCCAACCCAAACCAGTCTGTGGTTTTTTGATTTATGTGATTTCTTGTTTCCTGACAGGGCAAATTGGGCTCCAGAGATTCACCCAGGCAAGGGGTGACAACAAGCTCACGTCTCTCACAGACCTTTCTGTCCCCCCTGTCAGGGACACAACCGAGGGGCTCAGGCTTGGGCTGAAGGGGTTTTGTTGCTTTGGTGGCTGCTTTGTTCTGGACAGCTGAGCTCAGGAGCTGAAACAAAAGTTGCTTAATCCTCTCAAACTGCTGCAGAGCGTTGCTGAGCCTGAGCACTGCCCACAGGCATCAGGGCTTGGGCAGCCTGTCCTCTGTGCTGGCTCTGGGGGCTGATCAGTGCTTGTAATAGCAAATCCCTCTGCAGGAGGAGTCTGTGGCACTGTGTGTGCAGAGCTGTGTCCTCTGCTCTCCTCACCTGCCCCCTGCAGCAGAGCTGCCCTGAGGAAGAGTGTGGCTGCACTGGTCTCCATCTGTGGAGAAACAGCCCCAGGTCGTGGCACAGTGAGCCCAGAAGTGCCATCAGCTGCTGAGATGCCTGATGACTTGTCCCAGCAGTGACAGTGCTGGAAGGTTTCCTCATCCCAACATCTGGCACTCTGCAAAGGGCACACGAGTCATCCAGAGACAGCAGAGCTGTGTTGAATCAAGGCCAAGTTCCCCCTCAGTGTCATGTGTTGGATGAAATGAGATTGTGGTCATGCTGATTCTGATCCCTGTGTGGCTTAGGGTGTTTGCCACGTGTTCCTGGTGCTGCTGTGGTAGAGGCGAGCAGGCTTTGGGTCTGGGCTTTGTGATTCTGGGGGTTCAGAAGGGCAAAGAGGTTGTGTACAGGGGCATCCAAACCCCCTTGGTGCCAAAGGCCCTGTCTTCACATCACCACTCTGGTGTTTTTGGGCTGGCTCTTGCTGTTCATAGAATCAGAAGATCATGGCTTGGAAAGGACCCACAAGGAACTTCATGTCCAACTCCTGGCTCTGCACAGGACATCCCCAAAAAAAGTTTGTAACTCCAAAACAGGTTGATAAAACCAGAAAGGTTCATAACCCCAAAAAGGTTGATAACCCCAGAGGTCTCCACAAAGCAGCAGTGCTTCAGCCTGCTGCCCTGTGGTAATTCATGGTGTGAGTGTCCCAGCTGACAGCAGTTCTGTGTGATGGTTGGTAACGATGCCATTTTTTCTCTCTTTTTAACAGCTGCCCCTTCCTTGCCAGTCACCTGACCTTGGCCATCCCCATCATCGCAGCCATCCTCTTCTTCTTCGTGGTCAGCTGCCTGCTCCAGACAAGCTTCAGAGACCCAGGAATCCTGCCCAGAGCCACCCCCAGTGAGGCTGCAGACCTGGAAAAGCGAATTGGTGAGACTTCTGTTCCCTCTCCTGTGTCTGGTTCAGTGCATGGCTGTGCACATGCACGTTTCAGGCTCAGCAAGTCCCTCCTTGGCTCTTGGCTCCTTACAGCTTGTCCAAGGGGGTAAGAAATCAGTGTCAGATTTTGAGGTTTGACAGTGTCTCATGAGTCCTGGTGAGCAGTGCAATAAGCTCCTCCAGCACAGCAGGCAGTTCAGGGAGGACTGCAGAGTTGCTTTTTGTTCCTCTTCAGTCCTATCACCTTCCCAGGCAGCAAAGTTGAAGGATAATTGATGCTCTTTGATATTAAGGTTTGCCATTGAGCCTGTTGTGCTGCAGGGTGTCCTTTACTGTAGGCTGATGTTTGTCCTCTTCTAAAAACTGCTCTGTCACGCTGGTCTGGGGACAGCCAAGGAGGTGTTTACATCCAGGAGCTGAGGACCTTGTTGGTGTGACTGGTGGTAACAAATGCTGTCGTGAGACAGCTTGAATCTGTCCTGCTGGAGACAGTTGCAAGGCAGTAATTCTACATCTGACTTTAAAAATGGGTTTAAAATATCTCCAGAGTGGCTATTCATGTTTCTATTTATAAGAGCCTAGAGCAGTAATCTGGCTGCAGATGCTGCCTGATGTGCCAGCTGTTGCTGTTAATATAATCCACTTATTATCCTCTTAACATGCTCACTGTTGGATCACTCTTTTCAAAGACTTCCTCAGAGCTGGAAAGGTACTTTTTTTCAGGAGTGACTAAGAGGAATAATCCCCCAAATCATGCAAACATGATACAGAGGGTTTCCAGCTTTTGCTGTGCAGAGTAAGTCTCCAGTTGCCAGTCCCCAGGGAATAACAAAGTGCCAGCACACACAGATGTAACTTGTGGTGCCTCTAAAAAATCCTCAGTTTCAGCCTTAAGGAGGAAAGAATCCTCTTGTCCTACAAACACACAAGTGTCAATTCTCAGTGAATCTGCTGGAGCACTTGCAACCTGCTGCTGTGCTTCCCTGTGGTGGTGGAAATGAGTCCCTTGAGGCTGGTGATGCCACAGCTCCAGCTGTGGGGTGGCAGGTTGTGTGCTGGGGTGGCAGAGATGCTCCTACTGAGGCCACCCTGATGTCTGTCACAGCAGAGGAAGAGCCACACGTGCATTCACTGATGATGTTGCCTCTTTGTGTTGTGACCTGTTGGCCACAGAAATGAGCTGGTGTTACTGGCACTGTAATCCTGCTGCTTTTCCAGTCACTCTTTATAAATTGCCTGGTGTTCTCACAGCACTGGGCACTTATTGCTTCCTCTTGGCATCTCAGCAGCGTTAGCATTGAACAAAGAGAGGACATAAATAATGCTGTGAGGAGCTGACTGGAGTTCCTGGCTGCCCACCCTGCAACAAATCCTCTTGGCTGAGCTGCCTCTTCGATTTGATTCAAATCAGGAGAGCACACATGCCAATCCTTTGCTCTGCCTGGAAGCAGCTTGGGAGGGATGCAGGGCTTGGGTTTCACTGTCCCTCCTTGGCCTTGCAGACAGCATGGGGACCTCCACCTACCGCCCCCCAGCCCGTACCATGGAGGTGGTCATCAACAAGTACGTGGTGAAGCTCAAGTACTGCTACACCTGCAAGATGTTCCGTCCCCCACGCACCTCTCACTGCAGCGTCTGCGACAACTGCGTCGGTGAGCACGGGGAGGGGAAGGTGCTGCTGTCTGGGGGGGAAATGTGGTGTGTCATTGAATCTCCTGAGCAGGAAGGGACCCACAAGGATCATCAGTCCAGCTCCTGCCCTGCACAGGACACCCCAACAATCCACCCTGGGCCTGAGAGCATTGGCCAAACACTCCTTGAGCTCTGTCAGCCTTGGGGCTGTGACCAGTTCCAATACCCAGACACCCTCTGGAGGAAGAACCTTTGCTTAATATCCAACTTAAACCTCCCCTGACAACTCCAGCCATTCCCTCAGGTTTTGTCATTGATCCTGTCACTTATGTTCCTGGTCAGATTGCTCTTTGCTTCTCCTGAACATATATATCTATGTGTATTATATAAAGCAACTGTTGTGTCTTGTTCCCATTTAAAATGAAAGCAGCACCAGTGCAGTGCCTCAGGCCAAGAGGCAGCATGTCTAAGACTCCATGTCTCTGTTTCCCCTAGTTCTGAGAGGACAAGACTGTAAAATGCAGCTCAGGCCTCCACCAAACACAAGGTTTGCTGCAGGCTCCTATTTCTCTGTGTCCCTGGCTGCTCTCAGAGTGTGGTGAAGCAGGAAGGAATGGACAAAGACCTGAGGAAAAGCCTCTGATGGCTCCATGCAGGCAGGGGAGTGGGCAGAGAGGTTCCCAGCACAGCCTGACTGCACTGGAGCAGCTTGAACTGGCTGCCTGGAGAGCTTACTGCTCGTGCAGCTGCTCCTGGTTGTGCTCTGTGGGGATGCAGAGGATGAGCTTTATGCTGCCCGAGGAGCGACCGAGCAGCCACAGGACCCAAAAGCTCTGGTTAAGAGAAGTTTGGGAGGTTCCAAGTGTTGTGTGTTTGAGGATAGCTGTGGGTGGCTGTGCCTCCTGCTGAGGCTGGCGAGAAGCTGTGGCTGGGCAGTGTTTGCAGAGGAGGTGTCTGGGGGTGCAGGCTGTGCCTGCTCTGTGTGCTGTGGGTTGTGTTTGCAGTGATGCTTCCTGTGGAACAGTTAGCACAGTCCTGTCAGGCCCACAGGCAGCCCTGTCATTAGCAGGGAGCCAGGGGTGTTGCCAGACACACTGCACCTGCCCCAGGTTCCCAGGCAGTTTCTGTGGGTTTGGAGGTGTATCGTTATCACTTGGACAATTATTTCTGCCCCTAAGAAGGCAGGGGAAGTGACACAGGAGGGAGCAGAGATGCTGTGTGCACACCCCCAGTGCTGCTGGCGCTGGAGGAGGCACAGGCATTGGAATAGGTTACCCAGGGAGGTGGTGGAGTCATCATCCCTGGAAGTGTTTCAGAGGTGTCTGGACCTGGTGCTGTATGATACGGTTTCGGGGTTACAGCAGTGACAGGTTAGTGGTTGGACTCGATGATCTTAAAGGTCTCTTCCAACCCTGATTCTATGACTGTTCTCTTTCAGTTGTTGTGATGGTTGATGTTACCAGTCACAAGGCTCACATTTATCAGAGTGTGAGAGGAAAGCTTTGAACTTTGAGATGAAAAGGTCATGTGAGCAGGCAGCAGTGCTCCATCGAAACTTCTTGCCCACATACTGCTGCCAGAGGCTCTGGTCTGAGGGTGGTGGGTGAAAGCTCAATTTGTAGCTCCTCCTTTTCAGAGGCTGAGCACAGTTTGCTCCATTTTGGGTGCAGGAGCCCTCACTGTGTCCCTTTGTTTCAGAGAGATTTGATCACCACTGCCCCTGGGTGGGCAACTGCGTGGGGAAACGCAACTATCGCTACTTCTATGCCTTCATCCTCTCCCTCTCCTTCCTGACAGCCTTCATCTTCGCCTGTGTCGTCACCCACCTCACTCTGCGTAAGTACCACAGCTCCTGGCACTGGTGTGTGCTGTGCTCCTGGTCACCAGTGACCTGAGGCAGCACAGGGTCACTGTTGCTGTTGGGATAGAGCATGGGAAGGGTCTGGTTGGGTTACACCAGAGAGCAGGTGGGGAATAAACAGGGAACTGCAGAGAACCATGAGTCCACCTGCACCTTGCTGCAGAGGGATCTTGGGAGCTGGGGATGGGGGTTTCCCCTCCAGAACAGATGAGTTGGTGGTGCATCTTAACCTGGCAGGGAAGGTGATTTTCCCATCAGCCTCAAATCTGGAGCGGTGTCTGTGTGCTGACACCTGTGCAAAGTTCCAGACTGCAGATGTTCCTCAGGCAGACAGATCCATGCAGACAGAGTGGGATGGCTGCCTGCTCGGGTGGAGTTTGGCTGGAGGGGCAGGGCTGCCTGATGGGATGCCATTCCTTGTCCCGTTTTGCCTTGCAGGCTCTCAGAGAGATGGATTCCTGGCCACGCTGAAGACGACACCCGCGAGATATCCTTGTGCTGCTCAGGGTGTCCAGCTCTGCTGCAGCTACACTAGTCATTAGCAGAGAGGGGAAAGGAGCTCTTTGTAGGGTCACCCTGGTGTACTTCTCCAACTTAATTTAGTCCTGGGACTAAGGGTGGGTGGCAAACTTGTTTCCCAGTTTGCAAGTTTAGATGGAAAGGGAAGCAGCTGGAGCAGGCTGGGCCTTGGCTCATCCCTGCAGACCAGCATGAGGAATGGGAAGCTTGCCCAAACCTCCCCAAACAGTCCTCTACCTCTCCTTGCAAGATGATTTGATTCCCTGAGACTTCCTTGACTTTTGTTTCACTGTTCTGGAGCTGGTGATTTGTTTTTTCTCAGTCTGGTCTATTTTGGGCCTCTCAGGTTTTCACACTTATTTAGTCGCCTCCAACCTGACAACAAATGAAGATGTAAGTACCTGGATGCTCCTTCTCCTGCCAGGCTGTCCCTGATCCACCCTGAGCAGGTTTTCAGGGAATCCTTGCCTGCCTCAGTGTCTCAGGAAGGCACTCTGCATCTCCTGTGATCACCACTGCAGAGCAGTGCCCAGGGCAGTGAGGCTGCAGTTTCAGGTTGCTGAGTGAGAATCATCACGTGTTGTGTTTTTTCCAATCTGTATGTGGCCTTGCTTAAAATTAGGAGTTCTGAGATAAAAAAAGGAACAGTGGCCCCAGAGATTTATGTGGGTGTGAGCTTGGTGATCTGAGTTCAGCATCTCACATAACCACGGGTTTCCTCCGAGACCCTGGGCAAGTCCCTGTGTCTCTGGCAGTTCCTCATCTCTAATTAACAAATAATGTACAGACATCTGATGAGATTTACCTTCAAGTCTGGGGTGTGTGCAGATTCCAAGGGCCAAATGAGTGCCCTGAGCAGGGCAGATTGTATGGAAAAGCAGGATCTGTCTGATCCTCGGAATCAAAATTCACCCTTCTGGCCAGAAGGACCTGTGATCCTTGCTGAAAGCTTCCAGCACTGCAAAAGGCATGTTTGCATCCCTTTTCTTTTTTCCACTTTTTTCTCTTTCCCCTCCACTTGACATTCAGAGGTGTTGGCAGAACTACTCAAGGCTGTGTAAGTGAAGCTCACCGAGGTCACACCCCAAGTACTGAGAGCACCAGTGGCTCATTGCCTCTCTGGCCTCATTGCCCACGTTGCCAGCCTTATGCTGCAGCTGGGGAGAGGAAGTAAAAACAAAAGGAGGAAATGTGGTGGAAAATGTGCTGGTAAATGGTTGGCTGCAGCCAGGGGCCACGGGCCAGGTATAGCATCTGCCCACTCGTGTGTGCCTACGCCTGCGGTTTCGAAATCAGAGTCCCAGTGACAGCTGCTCAAGGTGGGAGCAGAGGGCACTGTTGGTTGCAGCATGGGCTGGGAATCCCCTCACTGTTTGTTCAGCCTGAGGGGCCCAGGAGGGACCACGAGCTGGAGATCTGCTCTGATGAGCTTTCAGCCTTAGAGAGCACAAGGAGGGGAGGAGGAGGAGAAGGAGGAGGAGGCTGGAGTGGCAGACGGTGACACTGACACGTTGCCATGCAGCATGGGGAGGGCACAGCTTTGGAGCTTTCTAGCTGCAAGGTTGAATCTTGGCAGAGGCAAAGGCAGCACACTGCTGCTTGTTAAAGCAAAGAGGGAGGATGTTTGCAGTCAGACAGACCTTCCACCTCTGGAGCAAAGGATCTAACGAGTCCTAAGTCGTTATCTACTCTCACATCTTTCCTCTCCTAATCTCTGTCCATCCTTTCCCTTTCAGATCAAAGGGTCCTGGTCAAATAAGAGGGGCTCAGAGTTTGCCAATCCTTACAGCCATAAAAGTATCCTCACAAACTGCTGTGCAGTGCTGTGTGGACCATTCCATCCCAGGTAAGAGCCTTGGACCTCCGTAGTGTTGGGAATTGCATCCTGCTCGGGGAGAGAGGCCTTGGAAAGGACAGATTTATCACCATTCATGGGAGGCTGTCAGCACAAACACTGATGATAAGGAGGAAACAATTTCCCATTCTGCAGAGAAAGGCTGGAGATGAATGAGTAGGAGATTAACTGTTCTTTCTGTGTTGGAGCTTGATGAGTTTGGGTCCCTGGTAATTGTTTCATGGCATTTGAAGATAAGACACATCCTGCAGTTGAATGAGGCGAGAGTAACAGCACCAAAGGGCTCAGCAGCAGATGGTCAGTACCAGTAGTGGCATTACTTGTTGTCCTCATGGCATGGGGTTGCAATGAGATGACCTTTAAGGTCTCTTTCACCCCAAACCATTCCATGATTCTATTATTTTTAGCATGGTTTTCCTCCTGTACTTTAAGCATCGTGGCAAGCTGCCAGGGGAGGTCTACCCCAGGCATTGCAGAGATCCTGGGTTTTACCAACTCTTAGACCACCTGGAATGCTCAGTATCACCTCATCAAAGGCCTTTAACCTGCCAGTTACCTGCAGCACAGGATCATCACTGCCTGGTCACAAGAGGGTGCAGCTGGGCAGAGTCAGGCCCTGCTCTGCTCTGCCACAGGAGTTCAGCACCTGCCTTGGAGCTCTCAGCATTCCTGGGGCATGTGGGGATCCTCAGGACGAGTTTATTCAGTGGATCCAGTTTGGATTTATGTGGAGCATCTCAGAGGTGTGACTCGGTGGAACAGGGGAGGGTCAGAGTCAGTGTGGTTTATAGGTAGATCAGGCCCTGCTCTCTGAAGTGCCCCCAGGCCTCTTGTTGGATTCAGAGGTGCCAAAATGCTGTTCAGAGCAGCTAAATCTATGGAAACAGGGAGCCAAGTTAGCTGGGAGGTTTTGGGGAGGAGAATAGTGTTTTACTGCAGTTCTTTCCTCATTCTTGTTGTTTGCCTGCTGTGAACTTTGGCCAGTTCCCATTTGGGTTTGTGGTGACACAAAGCTCTCTGTGCCCAAGGGCTGGTGGCTTGTGTGACAAGGTTGTGGTTTGTCTGATGGGCAGGAAGTTGTGTTCTCCAGCTCTCCCAGGAGAGCCCTCCCTGTGGCTTGGGAGCTCCTGGCTTCAGTCTTTGTTCTCTTAACTCCTCTTCCCTTTCTGTTTTGCAGCTTGATAGACAGAAGAGGATTTATCCAGCCAGATATTGGGACCCCGTCCAGTCCTAAGAGTGAAATCCCTTCCATTGGAGCCAAAAGTGACACCAGCATGGTAGGAGGCATTCCCTAGCAGTGCTGTGATGTTCCCAGTGCCTGCTGTGCCTGCACCTTGCTCCAGCCAGTACCTTCCCCTCACCATCTCCTGGCCTCAGGCAGGACAGCCCTGTGACCCAGAGCTGCCAAAGACTCACTCGAGCCATACGTTGCCTTCTTTTTTTTTTTACAGTTATTTATTATTTTTTCTTCATTTGTTTCACTGTGATGTGGCCTGTTGGGACTTTGACTGACAGAGCCTGACAGCATGGGGGACCCTCAGGCTCGTGCTGAAAGCAGGGGGTCTCTGCTGCTCCTGGGGAGCCCCCAGACCCCTGAGCCACGAGTGTCTGCTCTGGGGGGTTGCTGTGATTCCTGCCAGGAGTTGTCAACTGGGACAAGGGTGGAAAGTGGGGACTGGCAAATGGTTCCCCACTCTGAGCTGGGCTGGGGGAGGTGTAAGCTCCCTGGTGTCCCTGTTAGCTCCATGAACACATCCTGCTCCCTTGTGCTGGCATGGAAAGGCTGTTCTGTCTCTCAAGGCTGAGGTCTCACCTTGGCCACTGCCAGAGCAGCTTTCCTGTTCCAGAAGCTGCTGTGCCTTGGTAAGTTGGGCTGTCAGCTGGGAGGGCTCTGACTCCCAGCAAACATGGAAGCTAATGAGGATGTCCTAGGTGCTGCTGGTCCTGTTTTCTGGCTGGTTGCTGAGGGGGGTGTGAAGGATTCCTTGTGTTTTGGTCCTGACAGCGAGTCAAACATTTTGCAGACACATTTTACAGCAAGGACACAAGTCAGGGGGATCCTCCTTTAGCAGGGAAGAGAAAACACAGACTAGAAAAGTGTGAATTCCCAAGGGTCACACCCTTCTGAGGTGCAGATTCAAAGAGGAAGTAGAGAGCAGGTGCTGGTCTCTGATAACCTCACATTCTGCTCTTGGGTTGAGTTTCTGGACAGCAAACTGTCCCCAGAGCTGTCCCCAGCCCCTTGGGAGCAATTCTAGCTGCCTGGGCTCATCCATGAGCATCACTCTGCACCTGGGCAGCCAGCCCTGTGCTCCTGGGGTGTAGAGAGAGTGACAAACCTTGTAGCAATACTTGAATCATGTTACTAAAAGCTGCTGGATATTTTTGCACAATTTGTAGTGTTGGTTTTTTTTCTACGTGGAACATTTTCTATCTGGTGCAGGGAGCATTGTGCACATTGGCACCAGGGCAGAGGCTCACAGTGTCAAGCTGCCTGTTAGGTTTCCATGGGTCAGACACACCTATTTCAACCTCAGGCAGAGGCAGCACATTTTGGGGGGCAGCCTGTCCCCCCCAGATTCACCAGCATCATTCTTTGCACGCTGTGACAGCAGAGGAGCAGTATGGGGGGGGTTTACCAGGGGCCAGAATCCTTCCTGTTTTTATTTAAACCAGTTTCCTTTGTTACTCAATAAAATTCTATTTTTAAAGAGTTAATTGCTTGGATCATTATTTTATTCCTTGAAGACAGAAGAAGGCAGGTCTCTCAGTGTTTGGCACCTCTCAGGGGGCAGTTGGACTCTGTTAGGCTCAGGCCTCACCTGGAAGCTCCTGGAACCTCCTGCTACGAGGGATGAGCAGCAGTTGGTGCTGCCATGAGTTGCTGGAGTGAAGGGATTTTGCTGTCCCACATCTCCAGGCTGGGCAGGGTCTCATCCACTCAACCCACCTCACCAGGTTCTGTGCTCCCTGTCTCTCCCAGCTCCTCTGGCAGGTGCTGAGGTGCATAACCTCTGGTGTCTTCCCCAGGAGAATGTCTGCCAGGACTTTGCCATTTCCTGCACAGCCTGATGGGATTTGCCCCTCCTTGGACCTTAGCCCTGATTTCTGAGGGTTGGCTGGTAAGAAAGTTCTTTCTTCTCCCTCTCATCCACTCGAGCCACCCATCCCATCTCCACTGCATGACCACAGAGCCCATCACCTTCCAGTTGTGTTGACATCTGTGTGCCCTGTCATCTCACCAGTATCCCACTGGCATGTGGGGCACCAAGCCCTGGGTTGTGCTGTCTCAGTGCAGGGCTCTGTGGGTGAGGGTTTGCCCACAGCCTTGGTGAGAAGAGAAGGATGGGCTGGTTTCTGCCAGCTTTGTGCTGGGGTTTGGCACAGGATGGAGCTGTTCAGTCTGTGTGGGGGTGCATGGGACACATGTGGCTGGGGGTTGGCAGAGGGTTCCTGGAGCCTGGGGCTGGTTGGAGGACACACTGAGGTGGTTTGTGCTCACTGCCATGATGGGACTGGAGGAAGCCCCCAGAGGTTATGTGTTTGGAGTGAGCTGTGACCCAGACAGAGAGGTAGAACCTGAAGCAGATTTCTAACCCCAGCCTTGACCTGCTATGTGGGTCAGACAACCTTTCCCTTCCCTCTGCCCATTTTCCTCTCTGTAACACCTGGTTCCTCCTCTGCCATGCCCTTGGCCAAGGTAAGTTCCTTCCAGAGCATATCCCCATGACCTGTGTGACTTGGGGGCTGTGGAGCTGCCCCTCTCCTTCCCTGCAGCACCCCATGAGCTCCTGCTGCTCAGGCCTTGGGGTAGCAATGGAGACCACTGCCCCTTCTCCCTCCTGGGGCTGCCGGTGTGATCCTCCATCACTGACTGTCCCCTTGCTGCCACCAAGCCTGAGTGCTCCACTCTTCTGCTACAACTCATTCCTGTATTTCTGACACTAACCTTCTCTTTCTCTTCCTCCCCTTTCCTCATCCTCACACCGGGTGGATTCCAGTGCCAAGAGCCCTGGCAGCCTGCAGCCCTCTGCCTCTCGTGGCACATCCCACAGGGAGCCAAGACCACAGCCATGACCACCACGAGTGCCTCTGCTCGTCAGGGCTGCACCTTCCTCCCTCCTGCTGTGAGAGAGAGAGAGGGGAAGGGGCTGTGCACAAGGAAAAGCTTTTCCAGCCCCACTCCGGGAGCTGGGACGGGTGTCCCGCGGGTTCGGAGCTCAAAGCCATACAGCTGTCCCACCCGAGTGCAATAACTGGAGTTCCTGCTGTCTCCTGCCACTGGATGGACCCTGAGGCTGCCAGTGGCTCCCTGTGACCACCAGTTTGACCCTCAGTGATGGTGTCTCCCTGCAGTAGCTGCTGGAATGTCACAGTTGGCTTTTGGAACGAGCAGGTTCACACCAGAGTGTTTACAGCTGAGCCAGTGGCATCACACACCCAACCCCACCAGTCCCTCCGAGCCGTGTCCGTGTGCCAGAGGACTCTCCTCTCTGGACAGGAGTTAGTACATGGTCAGTTTGCCCTTGGAACCCCCCCTGGCCAGCTCCCCCATTCCTGTCTCATCTTAGTGCTGCTCTAGTTCTAGGGAAAGGGGTTCCAGCCCCACAGCACCTTGACCAGCCACCCTGGAGGCTGCAGCACCGGCTGGGCTGGGAGCAGCCAGGCTCTGTAGGATTCACCATCTCTTTATGCCTTTTACTTTTGTAACTAAATAAAAAATTCTCCTATTTACTGTACACTAGTGTCTGGCTGCTGCTCCAAGGGTTAGGGCCCCTGCCTGGGCATGCCAGTGCTGAGCAGGGCAGGGAGCCACGGAGGGCTGGCAGCTCAATGCCATCAGCGTGTGGCCACAGGGCTGGGAGCCAGGAGCTCCCCAAACTATGCTGTGGCCTCGGGGCAAGGCTCAGCCAGGGTTCTTGCACCCTCCTGTGCAGTGGGGAGGGGATGAGTGAGGCTGCTGGGGAGGGAGCAATGGGCAGTGCCTGTAGGACCCAGGGGGCAGTGAGCAACCCTTGGAAAAATTCATTGTCCGCTGATGTTTTGGATGCTGGCAGCATCTCCACAGCTTGGGGAGCGGCAGGGCTGGATGGGGTGGCCAGACAGGCTGTGAACATCCTTCC